TGTGTAGCAGCTGAAACATCAACAGTGACCACCACTTGCGCCAGGTGGCAACACGCCGGCGCGGAGAGAAAGCGAACGTCCCGGATTGCCAGCCGAAGAGAGCACCGTTTGGCCAGCAGGCGACTACGTAGGAGGCGCAGATGGGTGCAGCAGCAACCCTGCCGCTCTTCTGCTGCTGCTGCTYCTACTACTGCTACTTCTGCTGCTGGTGCTACTGCGCGCTTTTCACTTTCCGTTCTTTCAGTTTGTCGAGAACGTTTGAACGCAACGGGACTTTTGGAAATCGTGCGTGCAGGAATATCTATGTAAAGAAACAAAAAGAGAGCAAAAAAAAAGAAAAAAATTCCAAATTGCAAGCAAACGCTGAAAAGGAAATGTGCAAAAAAATAGTGTAAAAATAAAAGCCAAAAGCGTTAGGCAAAAATGTGCGGGCAGTGGGAAAAGAGCTAAAACGAGAGCAAGTGTAAAAATGTAAACTACACACGCACACTCACACATATATAAATATACATGAATGTAAGTGTAAGTGCCTGGTTGTAAGCGCGTGTATTTCCCTGTGTGTGYATGTGTGTATGCGTGTGTGTATGTATGTATGTGTGTGGCATAACAATGACCACAGACACTATCATTAGAAAACAACAATAGCAACAACAACAACAAATTGCTATTCAAATATTAATAAATTAATTGCTTAATCAAACAGATTGATGCGGAAAATCCATARTAATGAAAATTAGACGCGCTATTTGTGTGAGCGACTTTTTTTTTTTTTCAAGCAGCAACTGTGTGTGTGGGTGGATGGGTGGTTTTAGTGTGTATGTGTATGTGCGTGCGTGTTAGTGTATGTGTGTGTGTGTGTGTGTGTGGCAACATTCGTTTGCTTTTTTGATTTGTGAAAATGTGTGTATCCGCGCAAATGTTGTTGTTGCTGTTGTTGTTGCACGACGAGACGACTGTTTCGTGTCGTCTCTTGTAAGGAACACCTACAAGAACAACAAGAAATGAAAAGGAATACAAAATTGTCCTTGTACATA